TGTAATCAAGATAGTTGTGCTATGGAGAACAGTTATGAAAAGGAAAAGTTTAAAATGAGTAATATTCACATTTTGAAAATAGCTGTGGTCTTGAAATAACATTTGTTTGCTTGGGTTTAAATGTGGAGGCTACTACTGCCAACAGGCACAGGAGGAAGTGGCTGGCATTCTTCCCTGGTTCTTAAAGGACCCTGGAGTTGGGGCCTCGTCCTCCATGTATTAGCCAGAAGTGTCCGAGAATTGTCGTGAAGTTCTGTGATGATGTCACTAAGCCATTTTATAATATGTTAAATTCTTCAAAAACCAAGCAAATGCCTGTTATTCCTTTTGAAACATTAAATATTCTTCATACTATCAGAAGTAAAGGTAGAATCAAAATCATTTGCACAACTGGAAGTCAGTCTGGGAATATTTTCTTGGGGATTTTTTTAATGATTAAAAAATAAAATTTGAACCCATGGATCAGTAATTTAAGGACCTGAAAATTAGTGAAGGATTAATGGTTGTAAATAATAACATGAGAATATTATAAATAATAACATGAGAATATTATATATAGATGTGGTTTTTAAAGTAGCTTTTAATATGATTGTGGTTTGTTCAATTCATGCTAAATGGTATGTGCCTTTCAGAGTATGTAGAGATATTTGAAAGTGCCACCTAAAACATAAGCTAAATTAAAATTCTTTGAAACCACACATATTTTATTAGAGGATTTGTATACAGAATGTGGATACCATGGGACAGATTTGCAGAATGGCCGGCACAAAATGAAGGGTAAAAGGAGCTTGGGGACACGCTTATGTGCCAAAAGGAACGGGTCTCTCGACTTCCTACCATGTGAAGAGAAACCAAATATGAACGAATGCTTATCTGATCACTAGGGGGTTGATAATGAAGCAGAGATTCATCTTTCTTGTTGGATTGTTTTTCCAAGTAAAGAATGATCTTTTTGCAATGTCTTTCAAACTTCCCCAAACACAAGAAACAGACTTAGAGAAATAAGTTTAGTTTGCTCAATCTTCTCTAATTTTGCCCCACGATTCCCCAATACACACACACACACACACACACACACACACACACACACCACAGCCTTTCTCTCAAACAAATGTTATACTCAAATAATCCTGTTCTTCCAGTTTTCAAAAGTCATAACTCTAGGCACCTGATTATAGGTAAAATGACTGAGAAATGCATCATCAAGCCTCCTTCAAGAAAAACGAGTATTCAAAATGTTACAGAAAAACAGCATCCTGACAAGCAAATGCTAACAATAGAGTGAGCTTGCTAAAAACAGATTTTAAATATTATTTATTCTTCAGATTTTCCTATTTCAAAATCTGGCCATGTGAAAGAAAATGGAGATATAATCATCACGTGGGTTTGGTGCGAGTTGTCTGGCAGAAAGGGCCAAATGGCTCAGTCCTATTGCTGTCTCTGTGTGGAGAGAAAGGGAGGCTGCACCTGTTCCCATTAAGCCAGATACAGTCATGATTAGCATCACTATGCATTAGTGAAAATATTATCTCATAGCTTCCAACCGCAGCTGAAGACCACCAGCCTCTGAAGGCCAGGCCCCAGATGGAGCCCATAGCCCTCTCATGGATATCCATCAGGAAATACCACGGGGCCACCACCCATCATGGAGCTGGTCGTTCACACCCTTCCCAGCAACCCTGAATTTCCGCTTTTGGTCCAAACGAGCAGATGGACAATTTTTACCAGCTCTTTAGAGTTGGATTGTTGTTAGTCAAGTCATCGTGGAAGAAAACTTAGAAAGTGTCTAATCCAAAGCTTGCCAAGTCTAGTACCCTCTCCACACTACCCTTGACGGATCATCTCTCAGTCTCTACTGGTAGGCACAGGGAATCCACGTTTCATGGTGGCCTGTTTCAGGTTAGGAGGGCTCTAAACGATAGAGCTAAACACTGCTTCTGGATCTATCTGCGCTGAAAAATCTGGGTTTCTCGTTTCTCAAAATGCTTTATCTCTCTCTCTCTGCCTGAGATATACACGTGAAAATTATTTTTAAAATAATGTCATTTTCCAGATTGTCAAAGATGCCAATATCTTCATGATAATAAGCTGCCAGACCACAGACACCTTAGCACACCTTGGGTGGCTTGGGATGAAATAGACAAGTACTGGACTTGGAGTCAGAACTCCTGACCCTCAGTAACTTGCTGGGTGAACTTGGGCAAATGAGAGGACCTTCCTTACCCTCCATATCCTCCTTTGTAAAACAAGGACTTTGAATACCCAAGACTGTTCCAACACTAACATTCTAGAAAATGTGACTTTTCATATTCACCCCATATACACATTTGAACACCACTGCCCCTCCAGCACCTAGAAAAGATGCTTAGGAAATATTTGTTGATTAACTGACCTTTATTAAGAAACCCATACAGGCTGAAAATTGTAAGGATATAGTAGGGAAACTATGGGGAGAGGAAAAAGAACAAGACCCCTTCCCCTGATCGGGAATTTTAATTTAGTTGGGTCTGAGCAACATGCACACAAGAAAAATGACTTTACATATTTACCAATGTAGAAATGTACAGATAACATAAAGAAGAGTTATGAGAGCACAGAGTAACAGGGAATGGATTTCTGCTGAGGAGTCATGAAGGAAACAGCTTGGAGACTAAGATTTCAAAAGGAGCCAGGTGCTGGGAATGAGCATGAACAAAAGTGGAAATATGGGGGAAAGTAGGGTACGTAACAGGAACTGGGTGTTCACTTTGGGCCACCCAGAGTGGATGATAAAAGAGGCAAGCCCTAAGGCTGGTGAGATGTTTGGGATGTTCTAAGATCCCATGAAGTCTGAAACTTTATTCTCTAGGTTATGCATTCTAAACAGGGGCTTCACAGCTACCAAAGCTGATGAAATTTGGAGATATATATATATATATATATATATATATATATATATATATATATATATATATATATATATATATATCACAGGTCTACATACAGTACATAAAAACATAAACAGATATACAGTATATTGGTGGTATTAATTTTTCATGGAAAAGGCATTGGGTGAGGTCTGGTGGTGATAAAGAATAAAATGTTGATAAACACTGCTCTAATCTCTAAGATGTCAAAAACTGCCCATGCCTCAAAGTAGGGCTCAGACCTGAGACTGAGCACTGAGAGAGACTCTAGAGTCCATAGTACCAAGACTGGACAAGATGTATTACATATATTCATGCAACAAATGGCTCCTAAAGTAAAAGGCATTCTGTATCTTAAATCTAACCCCGTCCATAAATCTAAAGATGTCCTTGAGAGAATACCCTTACCACATCCCCTCTGCATGGAGACACCATCTTGATTATAATTAGTTCTAGAAGCAAGGAATGACTCTACCTGGAGTCATTTCCATCAGTAGAAATGATGAGGTGCACACACACTTGAAATTTTCCTCCATGTGAGAGAAAGTGGAGGAGAATTTTTTAGTCCGATGCTCCAGGGAGGGGCCCTTTGACGTGACTGGGCGCCAATCTTTTCTCAGCAGCAACCCCAAAATGAATGAGTCTAATTCTTAACATATATCAGTTGTTAGGATTGCAATTCACACTTCTTATACTAGTCAGAGATATCCAATTATGAATCTCACAAAGAAGCATGGCAGACTTGTTTTTAGGTAGTTGCTAAAAAGCCCTCTAAAATAATAATTTGTTACATCCATCAGCAGGTCCAGGAAGCTGATATGACCTGAGTGCTACTAGAAAGTTTCCCCTTTCACATGTATATCAGTGAAATATAATGCTTGGAATTGCCTCTTAGATTATTAATATAAGGGATTAATATCCAAATGAAATATTAGTAACATTATTAATACACTATATTATTTTGCTAAATACAGAAATACCAAACATCTTTCAGCCTTTTAAAACTAGAGCATTATAATATGTCACATGAAAGAAATGTTTCTATATGAGTCCAGTGCAGTAGTCCAGCCAAAATGTCATATTTTACAAATACAATATGTTTTGATTAATATAAGCATTTTTTAATTTTTGTGTGCAAAATGAAGCTCATTTCTAATTTGTGTACCCACCATCCGCTAATATGTTTAAATTAAGTTGCTTTTGCATACATTTGTATGTTATTCATTCCTAGCTACTTTTAATTTGCTCAGAATTGACATTTTAACTTTCCAGGCTGCCATCTCTAAAGATCTCTTAATTCCTTGATCATTATTCAGTGTGTGTGTCTTTTAATGATCACATTTGCTTATATAGGCTTACACATGTCTCAGTGGAAATCGGTTTTGTTACATGGCAGTGTTTAAGACAGAGAACAACCAGGGACTGAAATCAAAAGCAAACCCTGCAGTTAAACAGAGAAAGATAGAGGGAAAAGTTCCATTTTCCCTACTACTTAATAGTCATATTTAGCTTCTTCTTTTGACCATTCCCACTTTAGTCCCAAGTAGAGAAGTATAATTGGCTTTCCCACAATGTGAAGTGTAAACCTTTGAGACACCCGTGTCCCTTAAGGAAGAGAGTGCCAGGTTGCCAATTTTGCGTTCTAGGTTTTTCCATCTATAAGCCTGGGCTATTTTGTCATTGTGAAAGGGTAGCTCATTTCAGAGGGAGACAGATGTCCAGACTATCTACAGGGTCCAGAATTTCTTATCGAAGTCTTGCCCCCCTGAGCAAACCCAGAGGCAGCTCCAGGCCTTGCAAGAGTTCTGTTAGTCAAACACAGCTTGCCCGGGGCAGAGCTGCTTTGGCAAAACTTGCTCTTCTCCTGCGAGCTCCAAAAAGAAAGCCTCAACTCCTTTGCCAAAGTGCTGTCAACTGCACTTAAACAGGAGGGCTCCTCTCAGATGCAGTTACACTGGGCTCTACCGTGCCAGTGACTTTGGCTGGATGGAACACCCTGAAAATGCCACTACAGAGACACGTGGTGCCAGCTTGTGGAGCAGTGTTTGACACAGTCTCTCAGAAGACATGTAGTTGATTTGAGTTGGGGTTATTGTTTTGTTTTATTTTCTCCCATTAATCATGAAGTCATCCATCTCTCTTTCCTCACATCAGTTGATCGATCTTTGTTCAAAAACAAGAAGCTTCTATGACATCACATTTTGAAACAATTTATTAATTTTTAACTTAAATTTTAACTTTTTATAGAAAAATGTACTGCTTTAATTTTCACAAACTGAATACACCCATATAACAATCACACAGATCAAGAAACAGCACATCCCCAGCACCCCAGAAGCCCTGTCGCCCTCCTGACTCTCTCTCACTTTCAAGGGTAATTGTTATAACATGAGGCCACATTTTAAAGCTACTTGTAGTCCAAGAATTTACTGTAAGAGGTGAATTTGAGATTATTTTTCTGTGTGTGTGTGTGTGTGCGCGCGCGCGCACACACACACGCAAACATTTCTCTATTTTATTTTTTAATTGGACCTGGTTTGGGAGGGGGTTTCCATTTTCATTAAGTGTTTTATAAAATTGTTCAAAGCTAGTCATTTTCTTGATACAATTCCTTCATTTTCACCATCAACTCTGACACCCATTGCACATACACCTGTCTTCAGAGGTAGCAGTTGGAAATTTCTTCTCTGTACACCACCATTATGTATGCATTCAACTGGGTAAATTTCCTGTCACATCATGTATCTCATATCTGACTTAAGAAATGCGACTCCATCAAAAATGATTTATAAATAATAGTAAGAAAATTAAAGCGTTCCACCGTTACTGTCACCCCCAACTACTTCACAGCAGCCCTAGCCCCAGCACCGCTAGGAATTCCACGAACTGCAAGTTAACACTCTCACGGCAATGGATCCAGACCCTGAAGGCCCTTCGCAAAGGCATTTATATAATGTGATCCTTGCACGTAGGTGTCCATGCTTTTAAGTCACTCTATGGTTAATTTTTTTTCCATGAACTTTTGTCATTTCTCTCCGGATACTGAGCCACACCACAGCTCTCCATCCGTAAGCTGCTTTCTGAAGTGTGTCGCTTGAGTTTTCGCTGTTGTCTTGCTGTGGACTTAGCCAATTTATTTACAACTGTCGTGTGCTTCTGCCACATCTGCATTGTCACCGTGATGGTATTTTTTCTTTCTGTCTGTTTCTTCCACAGGAGTTTAACCAGTAACCTACCCAATGTGAACCTACCCAATGTGAACCTTCCCAAAGTACCAAATCTACCAGTTAACATCCCTCTAGGCATCCCACAAATGCCTACTTTTTCGGCACCGTCATGGATGGCTGCTATATATGATGCTGAGTGTGTATTCAGTTCACATTAGATCTAATTTAAATTTAAGTGATCTTGGCATGGATATGTATTGTTTATTTCTATACATCCTATATAACAGAGATGGAGAGGGATAATTAGACATATTTTGCTGATCATACAGAGACAATATTGTTTATTTCTGGCATGTGGCATGTTTGTAAGACGTTTGCTATATATACAGCACTAACAATTTGCCTTACGCCCACTGAACGCTTGAGGACTGTGTTTCACTTCCTGAATTCTTTTGCAAAAGGATTATGCCCATGTTTTGTTTTGGGGTTTTTTTTGTAATGCAGGTGGCATGACTTTAGGAGTTATTCATCCAAAAATAGTCCAGGAAATCTCTTTGATGGGCTGGCCAGTCATCTCTGGCCTGACCCAAATCTAAGAGGGAAGCACACCTACCAAGAAGCTGGGGGTATTTTTGTTGTTGTTTCTTTTTAAATAAAAAATTCCTAGCAACTGTTTAAACCATAAAGTATATTTCTGGTGTCAGCAAATGGCAGGATATAGTAACAGTATGTTCAGGGCTAAATGAAAATTTCTGAATGGATCAAGCCTTAGTCATGTAAATGTTATATAAAGATACTTCCCAAGGTCATCATACAGTACAGAGTGCTGAGATCTAGGTAGCAAGATTCCTAAACTTGAGAATGCAAGATTTAAACAAGAAATAATTAAATTTTTTAGGTAGCTACATCATCTGTGGTCTGAGTATAGGAGCATTCCTTACATTCATCCACACAAATGCCAGGAATGCATGGGTTTGTTTTTCTTGGAGACCAAGCCACTCCTTTAATGGCAGCCAGGAGTTTAGGGGAGTGGAGGTTGAGTAGCCATTTCTTCTGGTTCAGGAAATGAATCCTCTCTTTTTTTTTCTTTCCTTAGAAAGAAGAAGATCCAGCACCCCTAAATTCTACCTCAGGGAAATAAAATTAGAACCACGTGCATGATTTAATAAGTGAAATAAGGTTTAGCGATTCTGTACCCTCCTTTGATCCTTTTCTTAGACCACAGCTAATTATAGGCCAGATAAGCTTTTTCTTGAAAGAATAAATTGGCACGTTTTCAAAGGGAAGTGTTATTATCAAAGGAATAAAAAATGATCTGAAACTGGCAGTGATGTTTTGAAATCTCGAAATCACATTTGTCAAGATGGCCCTCAACATTTTTATTTTTGTAGTAATCCAGGTAGAGAACGGGACATTAAAACGACTGCTCCGCTAGGCTCCTCCAAAGCTGCCTGATAGTTTTTTAAACCTAAGTTTGTTTGCAAGTTCACAATGAAATCATATGGTCAATGTATCTGATTCTCTTTTAAAGACAAATGAAAAGCTCCAAAAATTTATATCTGAAAAAACAACTCTTCTAAGAAAACATAAATCATATTCATGCTAAGATGACTATATTAAAAGTTAGATTAGGTATTATCTGTTAATAATTTAAAAATAAATACCTGAAAGCCTCTCTTGCCTTCTTCTGTGCATGCTCTGTGACATTGTTTTTGAAAAGATATGAATCAAGACATTGTAATAAAGCAGATAATGGTCTCTGTTCAATTAATTAAGGCATGAGTGGGAACACATTTTGGTAACTGCTCAGCAATCAAAATAATCTTGGTGCTATTGCCTTAACATTAACAGTTTATCTTAAAAATAAAAAGAAAATATTCTTTTCCTCATGTCAAAACTTAATAATAAGCTCTTCAAAGAAAAAGAAAAAAACCCTAGAAGAATTTTTTGAAACTCTGAAACCAGATGGGTGTCAAAATGTTGTTGTAATAAATACCAATTATTGCATTCATATGTACTTAATGATTTAAAACATACAACCATGCAGTTCCAAAACGGGGTTTAGACTAGACAAAGTTGGGGTTCTTTTTCCCAAGCATAGGATGGGGTCAGGGGAAGGCTGAACTTTCATGGAGAAACAATGCATTCCCCCACTTTTGAACAACACTTACGGCAGTATCTGAAAAGAAGGCGTAGATTCTCAATCACCCACCAGGAAATGCCTGATTCTATATCTTTTCATAATTCCAGTTTCCTCCTTTGCCACCTTTCATTTTAAGGACGTGTTTCCATGTTACCTGCTCCTTCGTGTCAGATACATCTACGTACTGACCTCAGACTGGTCTGTCCTTGAAAACGTTACCCTGTTTTGGTCCAGGCCGTAGGCTCCCTCTCGGCATGTTGGGAGTTTGCCCCTTCCCCAACCCGCAGTAGCTGTGTATGCATTTATGCACTAGCTATATTTCTCTCTGAAGCATTAATTCAATGCAGCTGGCATCTGTCACAATAGAAACACCCACTCTCATCTGTTTCTATAGACGATGTCAGAACAACTGGTAATGCATGGTGTGTTGGACATTTTATAAATTACCGTGTTAGCATTAGTGGTATGCGAGGAAGGGGGTGGGGGGTGGCCACTCCTCAGAGCTCCAAATGGGATTGTTACAAAAGAGAAAGCCAGCCAGAGAAGGGCAAGAGGGTGAGCGATGGAGCGTTTCCCCCACACAGGCTGTCCGTGGATGCCCCGAGTAAACGTTTCTTAGACGTCATTGTACAGAAAGGAATCAAGACCAATTTCTCCATCTGTACAGAGGACTGGGTAAGATGGTGCAACGGTAAAAAAAAGAAAAAAGAAAAAAGCTCAGGTTTTGAGCCAGAAAGCTTTGCAAATATCCCTTGTCCACTCACCTCCCCCCAACTCACCTCATCCTGGGGCTGCCTATGCAATGGGCTGGTCGATGAAAATTGGAATAATAACCAAACTGAACAAGAGTCTTGGATTCAGGGTATCCAGGTGTACTTGTTTCTATTTGAGTCATCCCAATTTTTTTCCAGCTCTTCAAGAGAGAAAGCAGGTCCTCGCTCACCACTTTGTTAGCACTGTCCTTTTAAAACTAAGTCTTGTGCAATCTCCAAGAGGCCTCCGCTCTGGAGGGGAGCTGGGGAAATGCATGACACCCTGAATTTTAATAACTGCATGTTGCCATGTAGTTATTATTTGTTGAGACTTACTTCTCCCTCTGGTTCGTGGCCTTCATCTGAATCATCACATGTGTTAATGTGGTTATTAAAAGAAGGCTGATTTTTACCATACACCGTTCTCTTGGCCATTATGGGAAAATACCTTCCTCAGACTTCTTATGGGTCTGGGCTAATGGGCTGAACAAAGCCGACTAAGTCATGTATGGTAAAACTCAAAATCTGCCGGTGGAGACTGCCCCCATCTCCACCGCCAACACGCGTCGTTTTGTATGTTGAAGCCACTGTTTGCCTTAAGCCTTCTAGTCCCCAGTTGTCTTTGTGTCAGCTTTGCAGAGCCCCAGGCCAGTGGGTGACTCTTGTTTTCTAATTTTTCTCCTGCCAGTAACGGATCAGGCACTTCAGAAGATCTGTTCTGGAAACTCGATGCCCTTCAAACCTTCATTCGGGACTTGCACTGGCCCGAAGAAGAGTTTGGAAAGCACCTGGAACAGCGGCTGAAGCTGATGGCAAGTGACATGATTGAATCCTGTGTCAAAAGGTAAGCACAGGTGTCTGGCCAGGCTTGGCATGCCTTCCCCACTTACACTGACTCAGGAAAGATAGATGGCCCCTCTTTCAATAGGCCATAATTTGGAGTTCCTGGAGAAGGTGATTGCTTGTCAAAGTCAGCTGAAGTGATGGCCACCCAGGTGTAGCTTCCGTTCACCTGCCCCACAGCTGTCCCAAACCCCACAACGTGGCTGCCAGTGTTTTTCACTTAGCTCCATGAGGAAAGGATCCATGCCAGTTCTTGTTCATCTCTGTATCCCTGATACCTAGCAATGTCTGGCACAAATATTTACTTAATAAATATGTTTTCAATGTAGGAGTGCATGCATGGCTGGACAGCTAGATGGAGATAAAAGAAGCCATACAGTTCTAGAGCCAGCGTATCAGTACAAGTAGCAGGAATCTAATGACTTCCAGCAGCGCGGGCAGGACCTCAGCAGCGTCGTCCCTTCTGTGCATGTGAACGGAGCCTGTACCATGCGCCAACTATTAGTTGTCTTGCCCCAAATCTGACTAGATATGAACAAGGGTGCACGAGGCGTTTTGCCTGCTTTGTCACTGCGATACAGGGTTGAGGTGTGGGAATGCTGCACTTGACGTTCCCAGGTAGGCTCTTCTGTAGGTAAGGGGGAGAAAAGGAGGACAACATGCATCCATTCAACAGAAATTGAGCTCCTCCTATATGCCAGGCACAGCACTAAGTTCTTGGCATACCATAAAGAATGAGAGACTCCATCCCTTACCTCATGGGATATAGCTCTATAGCCTCATGTTTGACGTCATTATTATCACCCTGTCAATCCCCAGACACACATCCAAGTTCTTTTTCCAGTTCACAACTGTTCCATTATATTTCCTCATTAAAAAAAAAACAAAAAAAAAACACAAGTAGCAGAGGCCACTCTAAGTCTCTAGATGTTTGTCCAGTTTAGTTGATGCACCAGTTATGGGAGATGGAGGATGGGTTTGGCTGGGAGCACTCTGAATTCATCTTTTCGTATTTTGGAAAAAGAAAAGAGAAGTAATAACATCCAAAGTGGAAACCAAAAGGGCAGAAGAATCACACAGTCCCAGGTAGGTGAGTATCTCAGCAGGAACTGGGAAAGGGACTATGGCTATGGAGAGCCTGGTCGGTGTTTGACGGCACTTGGGGAGGCTTAAAGTCCCAGTGATCCAGACTTTGTGTTTTGCTCTTTTCTTCCCACTCTTAGAATCAAAGCAGGCATATTTCTCAAACCCAAGGTCGAAATGTTTCCTTAGGGTTTTGAATTTCACCTTCCCCTACATAGTCTGTATCAATTTTAGGAAAAGCCAATCTTTTCTGATTGCCAAACCATTTTGCAAAAAATTACTTGCAGGGAGTTTCCCCTGCAGCAAAAGTGTTCTTCCCTGATCTCTCCTAGGGGCTGCAATGCATTAGCGTTAAGACTTCCTAGCTTCTGATCTGTGCACATAATTGTACGGAAAGACATGTATGCCCTTTTCTAAGAAGTCAGTCTTTTGAGTAGGGAATAAGTAATAGAGAAATGCTGGGAGAAAAAGGGAAGACATGTGGATTTGAAAGGTAGATAGTGGCTCTATTTTATCCCTTCCCACTTATCTTTAAGAGTCAGCCACCTCAAAGAGTGTGAGCGCCTCAGAGGCAGGGAACATAACTTGTTCGGTTTGAGCTCCTCACCCTCTCCGGGTCCCAGCATTATGCTTAGCACATAGTAGCTGTTGAGTAACCTTTTATTAATAGAAGTTGGTCAACTGTACATATACACCTGGCACTGGTGTCTCTTGCCATTGAGGCCCCAGACATAAGCACAAACACAGATATGAGCAAAAATAGGTGGACATTTCACCCCCAGACCTCCAGAGTCAGAGGGTAAAACATGAAGCAGCCCTTGGATGTTTTAAGACATAGAATCTACATTAGTGGAGCCTAGAACCTTTGAGTTCTTCTTTGGGACAGAATAAATGGCCCTGGTTCTGGAAGGACAACATAGTAAGGACGTGATTCCGTAGATGTAAACATGCCACTCAAAGAGGTCAGTCAAGCACTCCTCATTTCCCAGTTTCTAAGGAATTTAAATCACTCATTTGATGGACTTTACAGAGTCTCTAATCTTAGTCTGTATCAGGGACTGTGCTCCACGCAAAACAAGGCACCCTTACTCTGCCTTCAAGGAGGGTTGCTTGGATTAAGTGATCTCTCCATTCAGGCTTTTTGGTCCCATAGAGCCCTTTCAGTCATATTAATTTTGCATTTGGCTTCCTCTTCTCACAGCCCCACACTCTAAGTAAGAGCTTGGACAGTTCTCCTGTGAAAACAAAAGACGATTACTTCATTGTAAGAGAGCGACTTAGCATTTCCATTTCGCAAATTGGACCAGAACTGGCATTTGAGCCTAAGAAGATCAGCACCAGGACCAGTCCAACTCAGTCCCCAACAGGCCCCCTTTTCCCAAAACCAGAAAATGATGTATTTGCAGCATAGCTTAAAGTGATCAGCATGATTAGAAAGCTACTTCAGTGCACAGAGTCTTTAGAAACCTAGATACATTTATCTTTAATGATATCATGTAATGTATAGGAGTGTTTTAAGGGGTTTTTTTTGTTTTTTGGGGTTTTTTTTGGGTTTTTAAAGTTGTTTTCTTAAGAGCTGGGCTTCCAACCTTAGAAATTATACTTGGCTTCCCTGCATGCACCCAGGGTGTGTTAGCAAGCTGGCATCCTTTCCTGAGCTAACTAGCTGTGTGGTCCCCCTATGCACTGTTAGAAAACTGCTACAAATGCTTCTTAAAGTGATGCTTTCCTGGTGACTGATGATCTCCAGAACCTGATAGTGAGCAATGCTGAAAAGATGCATTGGACGAAAGGACCTTTAATAAAACCACTCACTAATCAGGTGCTTTTCTTTAAAGAGGTGTGACAACGTGACCCACTTCTCAAAATCTTTTAAAATATAACTAGTCCCCTTTATGATGCTGATATCAAGGATTAGATCTCACACCTGTGTTACCAGCTGGCCATGTTGAACTGGGTTTTCCCCGTAAATGGTTAGCACATTGCTGGGTCATTTGACCTGAGTCAAAATTATGTCACGTTAAGTTTCCACCATTACACAATTCTTGAACTGGTAAGTATATTAGGGACATTTTTATGTATGGAAATAATATGTTCTTATTGCAAAGTAATACACTGACATTGCAAAACAAACAAATATAGTGGAAGTCCCCCATTACCACTTCTCCTAATTTCACTCTCCTCCCCAAAGGTAGCCATCTTATTTTTTTAGTCTTTAAAGCAATATAATAAGCTTGTTAGATTTTTTTTTACTTCAGTCTCTTTCAAAACCAGAAAGAAAAAAAAAACAATAAATGTCATTTAAGATTTTTCCCCACCATGAGATTTTGAAGATTGGAAGCTGCTTTTTTGTTTTTGGGTTTTTTAATGAAGTGATTCAAGGTAGGCAGTTGCCAATGTGAGAGAACTTACATATGCTATAATGCTGTAATTGGGTTTTTGTTAATTCATTCATTCTCCTGCAATTAGGGTTCTCCATAGCATGTAAACTATAGACAGAAATACGCCGAGCTACAGGTGTTCTGTGTGCTGCTGAGAAAGGAAGGGTTTACGTAGCTGTCTCCCTGAATAGGCCTTCCTTAGTTGGGAAAGTCATTTTTAAAAGAACACATGTGAAGTCATTGTCGCATGAAACTGATTACAGCCTTCAATTTTCTTTTTCACTGACCACTCACAAAATGTCTCCTCCACCTGCTGCCATCTGAATGCTGAATTGGTCTTTTCCTACTTTGTTTTAATAGAACCAGGATTGCATTTGAAGTTAAGCTGCAAAAAACCAGTCGATCAACAGATTTTCGAGTCCCACAGTCAATATGCACCATGTTTAATGTTATGGTTGATGCCAAAGCTCAATCAACAAAACTTTGCAGCATGGAAATGGGCCAAGAGGTAAAAAAAAATAAATTAAATAAAAATACAAATCTTCCCCCCCCCCCCCCGCCATTGATCATGTAGAAGAAAACTTCACAAATTCCTTCCATCTACACCAGTCTGCTCGTTTCAGAAATATACTCTTAACATTGTGTGGATTAAGCCACAGATGAATGGTTGGTGTCTGTCAAGTAAATGTCTAAGGCATGGGTTGATGAGCATGCCGCTCACTTGGAAATGGTTCCTGGCTGGAGTCATGGTGGCCATAAAGTTTCTTTAAGTGAAACGATGTCTGATGATCTTATTTATTAGGCGGGTGTCTCCAGCAAATCTGTTTGCCAGAATGCAAGTTATTTTCACATTTGAAGTGCATTTTATCACTTAGAACATCTGGACAGCAGGAGCGCTCTCATTTTTACATCAAGCCATCTCTCAGGATATATAATGTTCGATCCCCCTGCTCCACAGTCCCCAGGAGCAGGCTCTGAATTTCCAAGAAATCGCAGGCTTTCATTTTCCTTAGATTGACTTGATTCTGAATCTTCCCTGACCAAAAGTTTAGTCCTTTGCTAAGTTTCCAATTCCAAAGTGGTATTTAAAATGTAAAGGAGAAAGAAACAGCAACGTGGGCTTGATTAAAGACTATCATGATCATTTTTCTCTGATGGCCTTAAGCCAGCTAGATATTCATATACCAATTTAGAATTAATTCAGAAACATTTCTGGCAACTCTCATGTTGTTGCCAATTGGCATAAATTGCTCCTAAATCAGATCTTTCGATACCAGCCCTACATGCTCAGTATAATTTAATTTTACAAAATTATATTTGTTCCTTCTTCGTTATTTATTTTCTCTTTCAGCACCTTCCATTTTTTTACATGTGGGTTGGTTGTATGCCCTCCCTGGCAAGACCATCTTTAACCTTCTTTCCCCTCCAAATTAGCTTCCTCAACCACAACCGATGAGCCTCCGCTCCTGACTGATTTTCTTGTTGGGGACCTTTCTCTGGGGGCTATGTTCTAGGCACTGGGGTCAAATGCAAGGGGTTCTCTTTCCCAGATGCATTTGCTGCCTGTGAATGATCTGGAGCAGTGGTTCTCAGATTTCAATGTGCATCAGACTTATCTAGAGAGCTTCTTAAAACCCAGCTTCATGGGTCTCACTCCAACAGTTTCCGATAGGTCTGGGGTGTGGTCCAAGCATTTGCCATTCTGACAAGTTCCCTGGTGGTCCTGGTGCTGCTGGCTGGTGTGGAGACCACATTTTGAGACCCACTGGTGTGGAGGCTCAGTGTCCAAACATGAGTTAAGGAGAAGCACTCAGGCACGCAGGACAGGCTCTGGAGGAAGGCTTAGGTTGGGTGTCAGGCCCTGGCTGTGCTGCAAACTGGAGCTGGCCAAGTCACTTAGCCTTTTTAGACCTTAGTTTCTTCATCTGTAAAATAATAGCACTATTCTAGTTTTATGCAGGCTGTGTTTAGCTACAGAATCAATCGGTTCTTCAGAAAGCATCGCGACCAGCATGTGAAACAGATAAAATTAAAGCTGCTCTGGATGAAGTGGGGGACAGGGGACCAAGGAAGAGGGAGCCCAGAGCGAGGGGACCATGTCCCCCCCCCCACTTCTGCATTTTTATACTGCCCACCTCCTCCTCACCCACACTTCTTTGGGGGACTCTGAACCATCTCTTAGGTTTCACAGAGCCTACTTTAAAAAAACCTATTTGGGGGTATCTCTAAGAGTCTTGGCTGATTTTCAGAATCCTATCCCTCCTGAATTTTTCTCCCCTTGGAGCTTGTTTTGTTTTGTTTTCTTTTTTAATTGAGATACAATTCACATAAAATTCACTCTTTTAAAGAATGCAATTCAATAGTTTTTAGTATATTCACAAAGTTCATCATCACAATCAATTGTAGGTCATTTTTATCATCCTAAAAGGAAACCCAGACCCCTTAGTAGTAATTCTCCAGCCCACCCTCCCCAGCTCCAGGTAACCACCACTCTACTTCCTGCTTCTAACGACTTGCCAATTTGAGCATTTCGTATACAGGGCGTATACTAAAATGTGGCCTTATGTGACTTGTTTCATTCATGTCAAGATTCTTCCATGTTGTAGCATGCATCAGTACTTCATTCCTTTTTATAGCTAAATAATATTCTATTACATGTATATACCACATTTTGTTTATCAATTCAGCAGCTAATGGGCATCTGAGTGGGTAATGCTACTGTAAACATTTGTGTACAAGTTTTCATGTGGACCTATGCTTTCAGCTCTCTTGGATGTCAACTCCCCTAGGAGTGAAATTGCTGGGTCATACTGTCACTCTATATATAACTCTTTGAGGAACTGCCAAACAGTTTTTTGAAGTGGCTATACTATTTTATATTCTTATCAATGTATGAGAAATCTTATTTCTCCACATCTCAGGCAATTTTATTATCTGTCTTTTTAAAATTATAGTCATCCTAGTGGGATCTCATTGTGGTTTTGATTTGCAGTGATGTCGGCCATCTTTTCGTGTGCGTTTTGACCATTTGTATATATTCTTTGAAAAAAAATGTCTATTCAAATTCTTGGCTTATTTTTAAAATTGGGTTGTCCCTTTATTATTTACTTTAAGAGTCTTTGTATATTCTGGATAATAGACCATTATTATATATATGATTTGCAACTATTTTCTCGCGTTCCGTAGTTTGCCTTTTTCACTTTTTTGGTACTAATTCTTTAAAGCACACAAGTTTATTTATGTTTTATGAAGTCCAGTTTGTCTATTATCCCTCAGAGCTTCTTGAGATGTTCGTTTTAAGTGAGGCTCACAAGGATAACACCACCCTAGGGTGGAGAAGTGTTGTTATACTAGAACTGACCTCCCTTTCTCCTCAGCAGCTTTTAATGCTCCTCTTCAGATTGACTCAAATGTTTAAAGAGCTCCCATATATACCTGGTTAGACAGCTAAATAATATTTCCAAACAAACCAAGTCACTCTGATCTTAACTTTTTTCTTTGTGAATTGGGGTTTGGGGAGAATAGTGTGTTTTGGCATCGGGGGGAGGGTGTTGTCATAGACCCCAACTGAAAATCTGATGAAATTTAAGGAGCCATTTCCCAGGAAAAACTATTTTCACACAATTTTACTATACAACTTCAGGGGACCTGTAAACTTTGTTAGGCCAAACTAAAGACCCAGTTGGAGATATATGATGAAAAATTAAAAGTTCTCTGAGGGACCTTGCTCTGGGACTTCAATGGGAGGTCTCATGCAAATACTTTCTTATTAACTCTTCTTACTTTGTAGAATGGGAGTATTCACCTCCAAAGTAAAACTGAACCATTAAAATGATATTGGCTAAGGATGACTGGAAAGGTGTTGAAATTGAAAGAATAGATAGAAGTCTAATATTTTTTTTTGGAGTTTTCCCTTTGTGAGTATTTGATATTAAGCTCATATTATAGATCTAGTTACTAATACCTGCTTCCACCTGCATTCCAACACCCTCAAAGTATTTTAGACTAGATACTGGAGGTGATACAATAGTCTCCAATTTTAAGATCACTTCCTGAATTTCATCACTGGGGTAAAGTATCATCTAAAGGCAGCTGTTGAAACATTTGTTAACCATACTTTTCCATCTTAAATATTTATTTTTTCATTAAAATTTGTGAAGCACCAATAGAGAGGAAATTGTGTATTAAATAGTTTCTCACTTGGTCTAGTGTGTTTTCATCTCATTTCCAAGGTCAGATGGTCTTAACAGAAAGACAACATACACACAATCTGTTCCATGACAAGGCAAAATGTGCAGCACAGGAAGTCAAGTGGAATGATTTTCACAAAGTAATTGTAAATTTGCAGCAACTTAGCTCTTCAGAAACACAAGTGAACTCTCCAAACTTCCCATGCCATTGAAGATTATTAGTTCCCTTGCTATCATCATGACCTAGTGCCCCAAAATATAACATTATTATTATTATTATTATTATTATTATTATTATTTATTCCAATCCAAGAAGGTGAGCAGAAGGATGGAAAACGCAAAAATAGGAAAGATCCCTCTCTTTACTTATACTGGGATGCAGAGAGAATTGCAGAGAAAATTGGATAGTTTATCCAACTGCAAGAAATTTTGTGACAAGATAATCTTGCTAGGGGATGTTAATTCCAAGATTCCCTGGTAGTATATGTACCCCTTCACAGAGCTCCACATCTGCATGGCACAATTTATCTCCCAGGAAAAAGCAGAGTGCTCACTATGGCTCCAGAAAAGCAAATTAATCAAATAAGTCTCAGAAGAATCTGGTAAAATAAATCCATATATTTTGTAATTACTTGTATAGGAATCGGAGCTGCTTTGATACATACCCCTTTACCACATGATAAGCAGAGTAGATATTACCCTGCCCTACTATCTCTCCCCAAGTAAGTTTCATTTCATTGAAATTATAGTTTACATATAATAAAGTATACAGGTTTTAGAGAAATGTATACACACATGTAACCACCATGCTACTCATTAGCTATAGTAGTAGTAATACTGCCACATAGCACTTCTAAGTTTCTACACCATGTTTCCGTGCATTGTTTCATTACTTGGTTAGGTGAATATGATTTCTATATTCACAACAGGGATAATTCCAGCCCCGTTGAAGAGATGAGGAAATAGACCAACAGAGATTGACATGCTCAAGTTTACTCTGGAAGTAAGAGGCAGAATAATCACATCAAAACACTTCTTTTACAAGCAGAATAAAACAAATGTGGAGATCAAAATATTCATAGAGTGAAAGGAAGAGACAGTGAAAGCATCTGGAGAGAAGTCAGGGTCAAGTTTGTTATGGAAAAATTGAAAGTGAGAAGAGGTTCTGATAAACCACCATCTCTCCATTTAGTTTGGGTTCCTTAGAAAATGAAAAGGTGTGAGGTTCCCCCACTTCTGAAGAAAAAGCTTGTTTGTCTTTTGAGAAAGAATGACATTGTTAACTCCTCAGAACAATTCTTGTCCAAATCTTTCTTACTTGATGCATAGAAATCGCTTGCTCTTGGCTCTGATGGCCTTTTCAGCTAAGATTTTCAAGAGAACATTTCTGTTTTCAGTGATGGTCTTTGCTTGGTTAGAAGCCCCTCACTTAATATTTCATATTGTATTATTTTGCCTACAACTAGCTTTTCTGAGTTAGTTAACGCTCATAATTAATTTAATAAATGTGAATCATTTATAGCAATCTGAAGAAAATCTAGCAGAGGGAGGCAGTCACATGAGGAGGGAAAGTAAGCATGTGATCCTGGATCTTATCTCAAGACCTAAAAATGAATTTGGAGCCCTGTCAATATTCCTGAATTCCTTTGCTCTGACATCTTTTTTTGTGTTTCTAGCACAGAATTCTGCAGATAGTTTTTGCATTTCGCTTCAGGTTTATGCCATTTAAGAGTAAATCCTTTTGTGAACTTAGCAATAGAGCCAACATGGGTTCTGTTTATCAGGACTATACAACATGGGCTGTTTGCTTTCTTGTTTTTTCCCTAATCAACTAAAAGGAAACTAAAATGAGATGGCTGAGCAATAAGACCATCTCTCCCTACCCTTAGCTTCTACTTTATGAACTTGAACAAATAACATTGGAATTGAAGGTATTTGTTGACAAAATGTTTTCATATCGAGACTTTCACTTGATCTTCAAAATAGGACTATGAGGCTGAGAGAAGGGTTGCCAAGAAAGGACTTGGCCCTGTTTTTTTAACAATAATAATAATAGTAATAATAATAACAACAACAACAGACGCTAAATATCTCTATGCAGGGTTTGTGTCATTCCGTTTCCAAAATCAGCAATTTGTACTGCCTTCCCCACCTCCCCCACTGGTCCTGGGTGGTAGTATTATCTGGTTTTTTACAGACAGATGAAGAAACCAAACTATATTTTTTTAGGCAATGTAACTCACTCACCAACTTCGTGCTAGGACTTCATTTAGGTCTTCCAATTAAAATCAAAGTTCCCCCATGACTTTAAATGAATTCACCTAATTCATTTCCTCACTTTCAATAATTCTGATTGCTGGTTATCAGAATATCAAACCATATTACTGTGGCTTACTATTTCTGTATGTTTTCATAGCTTTCTGGATGGTTTGCTTAATTTTTGTCTTCTCATGTATCCTTTCGTCCTAATTTTTATTTGCACTGTTGCTTTTCTTTTTCCTATTTCTAATTAATCATCCTGAAAGTTTGCTAAAGAGTGGGTAAGTGCATCCTCCTTTCCAAATAGCAATGTTTTGCATTGTTATTTTTTATTAAGGAAACATGGAATAATTCAAATGGATACTAAAATGATCTAATAAATGTCAAGGAGCTGGCATACAATATTTTCTGTTGAAATCCCTTTTTCTTTTCTCTTGGCATTTACAGCAGATTTTTGTTTATGTGGGGGTTTGTTTTCGCATTGCGATTTAAATTAATAACCGGCAGCAGCAGTTAGAGAAACTGAAAAACTTAGCAGCAGTCTCAGTAGAGGCTCTAAACCTGGGTCTGCTTATCAACAAATGGAGAAAATGAGCGGCAGCCACAAGGATTCAGAAAATGACCCTTTGCTTCAGCGCTGAGTCAACACCTTGAGATAGAACTGGGGGCCTCTCAGGCATTACCCCAAAATATCCGAAGGTCTTAGAACAATTTTGGTCAAATTCCCTTTGGAAGGATTCTATTCTCTAAGCCACATCTCTCACCAGTTTTTCCAAAGGTAATTTTTCATCCCCTGAATTAAATTATTGTGGTATTTTGCTTTGTAAGACCCAGATCAACGTACTGCTAGGCCGTTAAGCCCTCCATGCAAGGTATTTGTAAATGTATGTATGTCTCTACATATATCAAAGTCATCAGAAGGCTTGGGTGAGGAACAGTACGCCTCATAATTTTTTTAAGAGCTTCGGATCTCTTCATCAAGGACATGGAGACAGGCTCTTACAGCTGCTCTGGGACTGTGGAAATAGACTGGGAAATAGCAGGCCAGGCTTTATTTATAAATTACGTTGTCTAAAAATTACTGACTGATGCAATGCCATCACCTCCCAAACATACTAATATTTGTCTTTCTGTGTTCTTTAGCATCAATACCATTCAAAAATAGACGAACTAATTGAAGAAACTGTTAAAGAAATGATAACACTCTTGGTTGCAAAGGTAACCTTCAACTTTAGGTGAAATGTTTCATTTTGAACGCTGCTTTGTTATGTCTGCATTTCCATTAAAATGTAACACGTTAAAAAGTTGAGCTGGATACTCACATTTCTCAGGAAACAAGATTGTACGTCACCCTGCCTCAGCTCCGAATTATTTTTCTGATGATTGTGAGTCTGTGAAGATGAATTGATGAAGCGGCATATGTTACCTTAATAAGAATTGGTCCCCCCAACATTGCATTAGGTTATGCAGAAAATGTTTGTTTTGTTTTTCAGCACTGACAAAGTTCGATTTTTAAATACAGAAAGTTAAACGGTAATAAGGAATTCTGCCATCGTGAAAACCCCCTTTTCTCTAGTTTCACATGCAGTGAGAGTCATAATAAAACATAAAAGTCAGATAAAGCTATTTCAGTCACCCTCATGAATTATAGAATTTTAACTAAGTAATGTTGAATGGGAAGACATTTATATTTGCCAGTGCTAAACTTCTGTTTTCCCCAAATTACTGATAAAATACAAATAAAAATAGATTAGATTAAATGTAGTGCTAATATGTAACGTAAAAACGGCTTTGCGCAGTTTTGGATTTTGAAAAGTGCATTTAATATTATCGCATGCTATATGCAACTCAATAATATTTTGTCACTTTGCACTTCTGTAACACTCTCTATTTGCAATCACATAATAATGAAGAGAAAGCCGGATAAGTCAAATATTTCTATGTAAAGGCAGTCTATTCCTTCCCCAAAGGCTGAAATCAAAGAGTGCAAAGGAAGCAGAGAGCTCCATGTTGGTCTCTGTGTGGTCGGGGAATGTCGCTCTTCATTATGAACAATTCTAGTTTGAAATAATAATTCTTTTTCTTTTTTTGCTGTTTTACTAGTTTGTTACTATCTTGGAAGGAGTCCTGGCAAAATTATCCAGATATGACGAAGGGACTTTGTTTTCTTCTTTTTTGTCATTTACCGTAAGTAAAGAGCTTTACATTGTTATTTTTGTGACGGAAATATGGAATCATTCAAATGGATATGAAAACGACCTGATAAATGTCAATGAACTGGCATAGGGGAGGGGCGCTGCTGTGTCATTTTGGTTTGGGCTTGTGTATGTATGTTAACTATAGTCAACTACCAGTGTATAATAATAACACTGGGGAAATAAACAGGACATTTCATAACAGCACGTAATACAAAACCATTTCTATTTCATCTCCTATGCAATGTGTGTGTGTGTGTGTGTGTGTGTGTGTGTAGGTATGTACACACACGCACATATGTCTCTCTATGTTTGTATCCAAAGAGAGTTACCGGCTTGAGCCCACCTTAACTATCTTGGGCAAATCACTTAATGTTTCTGAGCTACCATTTCTTCATCTGTAAATGATGAAAATTAATTTTGGAGGTTGCAAATGGAGACCCTCAGGTCAGGTAGAGGTTGTAAGTATGTTTCATTTGGTCCTTGCTGCATCGGGTACCCTTTTCTTAACTGAATTAGTTGCCCACCTTTAAAAATCAGGAGAATTCACTGAGAAGTCTGGATTCCAGGGCTTTCTTTATGAAGTGGATGGTCATCAGCACTGGGCCCGCATGTGTGCACTTAAATGGTCTGCTAGGGCTGCCAGGGAGGTCCCCATAGCCCAAACATGGACTTGCCAGTTTCTTGTGGCCCCCTCCTGGTCGTTTTGTTCATTTGCAGACCTTCCTGGGTTTGGGGACACTCTGGTAAAGGTGATCGAGTCTGTACAAAGGCTGAGAGGCTCTAATTCTGTGCCAGAATTGGGCAAGGCCATAGAAGTAAGTTCGGTGGTGGGCAGAAGCCCAGCCTAATTCTCTGTGGGTAAATGATCAATGGAGATGGTCATTGTACATGGACTGCTTTGGGGACCTGGTTCTCCCACCCTTCCTGTGCGAGGCAGGCACTGCAGCCACGTGCTTTCTTGCCGTTTCTGATGACAAGGTTCTTCCTGGCTCTGAGACCAGTGATTTTCTTCTGATCACAGGAAGAGCAATCAACTTAGGAGCCACTATCTGAAGGTCTTTAAAGTAGCCTTGCTGTGTGAAGCGTTTCTAGAAGGGCGTTGAATGCCAAGACAAGGCCCAGCACAGGGAAGAGGGTAGTACATCATCATCTTTGGAATCCAACAAAATTGGGTTCAGATCTCATTACCCGTATTAACCAGCTGTATGATCTTGAGTAGGTGTCTCATCCTGTCTGAGTTTTGTTTTAGTTTTGGTTTTCATCTTAGGGAGGTGTGCTGTTATGTCATTTTGCTGTTTGTGTGTGTGTGTGTGCGCGTGAGTGTGTGTGTGTGTTGCAGTCGACTACCAATGTGGTAAGAGAATGGTGAATAAATAGCGTCTTCCTTAATGAGCTATTGTGAGGACAATCTTATAAGTGAAAGAGCTTAGCATAGTCCTAGTACATAGTAGCCCTTGATATATGGCAGCTATTATTAATGAAAAATACCTAATATGGTTATTATATACTGCAGACATACATGCACACATGTTCTTTCCAAACATGCCCAACTTTGGTCTTTCCCTAACCCATACATTAGATTTCCTGGAAATGGAGGGAAATGTAGACAGAAAATACTTAAAACAATTTTAGATCGCATGCACATATCTTTATGCCAAGCTTATTTTAATATGTAGTTCTGATCTTCCCAGGTATGAAGATTGAACTCAGTCTCACCAAGTGTGATGACCACAATCCCTGGAATTTATTGGGGAAGGAGGATGGGAATAGGATGGTGATGATAGGAATTCTATCTGATTTCACTCAAAGTGTAGAACCACCCATGTGTCACAGCTGAAAGGAAACCTAGTCAACCCAACCTATCCTTTGACAAACAAAAAAACCCAAGGCCCAGAGAGGGGGAGTAATTTGTCTAAGGTCACAGCAATGGGCAGAGTGAGGATAGCAACCCAGGTTTTCTACCAGCTACACCCCCACCACTGAACTGCTTCCTGAAGAGAGTAGGATTTAGCTGGCACTTGCCTGGCACTAGAAGGCAGATGGGCAAATGAGTGGGGAAGATTCATAAAGAAGGATTCAGGGCACATGAGTGGGAAATATTAGATAATCTTTCATTCCTCAGCAAAGTCATGGAAATGATAGAAAGAGGCAGAATTAAATGCAATATTTCTGGAAAACGGTCCCCTGACACCCACAAAAGATATCGCTTTCTTTGAGACTTCATTTTGAGCAATGATTTTTACTACACTGGACTGAAACCAGTGAAAACCACCAAAGTTTCTCTGCAATTTACTGAGCATAATTCAATCTACCAAGGACCCCACCCTAATTACTGACTTACCAAGAGGACTCGTGAAAGGTGGTGTAGTGGCAGCAACAGGGAGATTCTCACAGGAGCTTTGAAACAAAGAAGACCTAGCATAGCCTATGCAAGAGTTTTCAAGCTGAAATTCTCATGCTCTCATCTCTCTTTTCTGAGACATTTTGCAGCCACGCTGCATGCCTAGTGAAATCCCCGCCACTGCAGAACACTTCAGTGCCTGTTGCTCGGCCTGTAGCTTCCCCTCCTTAGTGACACTTCTCCCCCACACTTGGCCACCCCCAGGCCAAAAGCACCCACTTATCATTTGCAGCCTGTGTTCTCATCTCCTGCTGGTATTCAGTATTGAAGACCATGAGCTGTGCTTAGAGGTGGCAGGAATATCTCCACACGTGGATTCTGAGCTCCTGCCCAAATTTCAAAGGGCTTCTGAAAACTTCCTGGAGCCCAGTTGTGTTGATTCCCCTGGAGTGGAGTGGAGGTGAGGGGTTGTGCAGAGGCAGCAGGGATGGTGGAAAGAGCCTTGAAATCAATGATGAGAGAACCAGATGTGAGTCCTGGGACCCTGGACAAAGGCGTGTAGAGAGTGCTGACATCCTGGCAGGATTTTCTTCACTCCGCTCCCATTTCTGATTCAATTCTTCAAGTATTACTGTGCACTTACCACGTCCCCACCTCAGCATGGCTGCCAAGTATGAGCCATGTGCTCTGCCCCCCAGAAAGCTGACAAGTATCGACAAATATGCCACCCTTTCCCCCTCTTTCTCCCGCTGAGCGCCTCCTTTCCTGGGTGGGCTTGATTTCATGGTCCAAGCCAGACATTTTGGAAAACGTCTGCAGTGGCACAGAGCAGGCAGGAATATTTATTTCTCATCTCCATCTGCATTGCTTCCTCTCTTGGAGAGGAGCTGGGGGGAGGAGGGAGGATGAGATGTGGCTTCTTCGTGCCAGCCCGAGAGGCGCCCAAGCGCACCCCTCCCCCCCTCCCCAGCCTCAGCAGCAGTAGCAGCCTGGGATTTATGGAGGCAGGCGCCTTTGGAACTTTGGAAAGATCAGCCCAGTTGGAAGTCGCAATTAGCAACTATCCGCCCATTTCCCCTGCCTGCAAGATGTGCTTTTGTGTGGGTTGCCTGCTTGCAAGAATCCCTCTTTGTAGGTAGATTTGTGCTGTTCTTTTAGGAGGCCAAGAAGGGGGACAAGCAGGTGCCCAGGTCCCTCTCACAGCAGGTTAAAAACTCTTTCCTTGGCTCTGTCCAGGTGTTAACAAATAGGCTGTTTCTGGAACCCATTCTTTCATTCATTCATTTATTCACCCACTCAACGTATACTGACTGAGCACCTGTGTCATGTATTGTGCTAGGTATTAGGGACATGAGGCCTATGTCCTTTTGGAGATTAGGAAAGGAGACAGACAATAAAAACGGAAAGAAAATTATAAGGTAGGGGAAGCTCTGTACAGGCCACCAACTGAAGAGACAGAGAAACAGATAGAGATAGAGATAGAGTCAGAGCTAGAGATAGAGAGAGAGAGAGAGATGATAGAGATAGAGATAGAGAGACATAGAGACAGAGAGGTAGAGGGGGAGAGGTCGAGATAGAGGGGGAGAGGGGGAGGGAGAGAGAGAGAGAGAGATGGGGGGCGGAAATGGGGTGGCGTTACTTCAGCTAGGACGTCTCTCTGAGGGGGAGACACGTGATTTGAAAATTAAAGGGGCCAACAATGGGTAAATAGGAGGGGAGAATCTTCTGGACAGAACAACTACAATGGTCATGAGGCAGGAAAGCAGGAGGAATTTTTGCTGGATATTTTGGAGATAACATGAACAGGATTTAGGGATTGAGTAGCTGTTGGAGGTGGACACTCGATTGGAGGGGGCAAAGGTGGAAGGCTCAAGAACGGTGATGTACTGAGGAGCTCAGCTGAGCTAAATGAGTCCCAAGAGTCAGTGGAATATGGCAAGACAGGCAGCTGGCGGGGGGAGGCCCGGGATTGGACCCCAGCTCTGCCCTCACCCAGGAGCTATGGCCTGGAACACGAGACCACACCTTGGCTTTTAATCCCCTTCAGCGTACTACAATGCCAGTTATATTAGATGAATTCTGAAGTCTAAAATAGCTCCGAGAGCTACAGCTCCTATTCTTTAAGCACTTGCTAAGTGCCTGGCACAGGGCTAAGTAGGTGCTTTAAATAGATTTTTCTCAGTAAATCCTCTGAACAATGCCATTCCAACAACACTCTTCTGCAGACGATGAAACTGAGGTTCACAGAGGTTAAGCCCTTCAGTTCCACCAGTGTCCACCCTCCCTCTAAACTCTGGAGCCTCTAAGGAGGAGTGAAGATAGAGGAGGGGACCACCACCACCCCTGGCACTAGAACAATTACATCGAATCATCTGAAGTCCCCTAGAAATCACCCAGCATCCCCCATCAACCAAATCCATTTGAGATGGTCACAGTATAACATGGCAGCCCCTTGGGACAGGGACGATAAAGCCCATTTTAGGGTTGTCAGGGGCCCGAACGCTATTGTATTGTCCAATCTCCTAGGTCTCAATTCACCCTCATTCACACTTTTTTTCCTTTTGTCAGCAAAATGAAATGGTTTTGCCACTTACAAATGAAACAAAGTAGGCATGCTTCTTGCTAGAATCCACAGCCAGGGCTGGTGT